TTAGTCAAGTCTGCAATTTCGGTACTGTACCTCATCAAATGAGCTTTTAATGCTTTCAATGACAAGTACTTCACCAAAGTCTTTGAAACGTTCTCGCGGCTGTAAATGGAGTCTCCTATCCAAGGTTTGAGACCCTGGGCCGCGAAATACATCAACATCCTCGAAAAGGTTCAAAGGCGTGCAACCAAACTTGTCATTGGACAGGGCTCTCAGTCTAATGAAATACGGCTATCAAATCTCGGCCTCTTTCCCTTGCGCTACAGCCAGCTTCGGGGGACCCTTATACTAACATTCCGCGTATTACGTGTTCAGGCCTGCTGTATTGCATTAAGAGATTTCTTCGAGTTAGCAACAACAACAACGAACTTGACAGGTCATCCCCTCAAATAACATATGACACTCAGAAGTACTTTTTCTCCAAAAGAGTGGTCGAAGCTTGGAATACTCTTCATCCGAATGTCGTTAGGTCGGAGTTCCTAGAGGTTTTTAAGCGAGAACTGGATCGATATAGCCGTGCGCGCTATAACACCAACTGATGCCGCAAACGAGACGCTCAAAAATACAATAAGTATATCACTTTCTAGATTGCCATGGCATTTGTTTCATAGCATAACGTTTTACAGAGAGTCAATCTAACCGACTCAAACCGCCAGAGAAAATCTGCACACTATAATACTACTTGCTACATTCTAGTAACAATTTATATACAATATTTTATTTTTTGAAAAGCCTACGGGCTTGCGATTTCTCACCATAATTCACAATCAACCTACATCACCCTCAAACATACTGATACTGATTGCTTTGTCATGTAGGGCATACGTGCAACTCCTTCCTCCGTGATGTGATAGGCCAATGCGCCTACCTGGTCTCTGACCGTGCAAAACCCGTCAGTGGCGATATGGTGCACCACCCATGCTTAACTGGCGAAGAAAATTTTCCGTTTTTTTCATTTGGCACGGTTGCTATCAAGTTCAAGACACCAAGCGCAGGAACAACAGAAACAACAACAGAAACAACCAGATCGATCTCGAGTTCTATTCTCGCACTACTTGTCGATACGAATCATCGAGTCGATACTAACGAAGCCTTTCAGGTTGTCT